ATACCGTATTCGGGTTCGGCTCCACCCTTAATATGTATGTATGTATGTATGTATGTATGTATGTATGTATGTATCACACATATACACACATATATATATATATATATATATATTTATATATATTTATAAATATATATATATATATATTTATTTATTTATTTTTTTACCTTGCTGTGCCCCCCTAAAATGAAAATCCTAAAATCGCCCCTGGCCTATTACAATCAATAGCCTATACAGAAATTAAATGAAGTTTTAAAATCTTGTTCACTTTTTATTCGCTGCATTTTAAATATCGATTAAAGTTATATCATTATTTACTAATGAGCAGCGAATCTCTTATTGTGATGACAGTTAGTTAGAATGGTAAAATATGGGAGAATCCCAGCAAACATGGGAGGGTTGATTGGTATGGTCTGTCTGTGTGTGTGAGATATGAGAACTATGAAGCGTCACAGCTCATTAATATTCATGACCATTCCAAATATGGTCAAAACCATGCATACTTTATCATTATCAATTCCTGGGGTTGGAAATGCTCCTATAATACAATTTCTGTAGGATTTTTGAGCTTACCTAAGCCACATATTTACTATATAAACATCAGAGTTCAATTTAAGATTGTTTCAATGCATTCTGTAGCAACTTTAAGCTGAATTTGCTGTGTTTTTGTGAACACTGAGCTGAAATAACTGCCGTGATGTGTTCATTTTCAGTCGTGCAGTAAAGCGTACGAGTATGAGGGCTTTATGCTGGAGAATGAGCAGAGATACAGAGACGCAGCGCTGCAGTATGAGCTGGCCTGGAGACACAGCAGACAGCCTGCAGTCGGTATGATGGAGGAAATTACACTACACACACTCTATATGCCTTATTAAATGACGTTAAACATTCTGATCTGCAGGATATCGTCTTGCCTTGAACTATCTGAAGAGCCAGAACTACACGCTGGCGGTGGATGTGTGTCGACAGGTCTGTTATCACACTCTGAGGAGTCTTATTTGAAACCGTATTAGTGAATGAGATCTGTGCTGATGGAAAATCTGTAGGGTTTTGAAGCTGATTAAATGAGTAATAAGTGACGTGCGTGCATCTGCATGTGTGTGTGTTTACAGGTTCTGCAGCAACATCCAGATTACCCACAAATCAACACTGAGATCCTGACCCGTGCTCGGCTCTCTCTCCGCCTGTGACTGAGTGTGTGTGAATTTGTTCTGTGTGTGTGTGTGTGTGCGCATTAAGATAATGTTACGTATTTAAAGGTTTAATATTTATGTACTTCGATCAACAATCATTGTTTAATACTGAGTGTGCTGATCTTTCTATATATCAGTCCAGTCGTTTACAAAGAAAGTTTCTCTTAGTACTTTTAGTGTCAACAGTGTTGTGTGAACTGCGTATATACTGGTGAACGCAGAGAAATGTGTGTAAATGCAAGCAAAAACACACACTAAAAAGTATTTTAACACCTAAATCTGACTTTAATACACCACTATTGCTTAATATTTTAGAACATGCATCAAAAATGAGACGGCCTATATTGGTGCTTTTATAAAAGTGACTGATTATGAAGGCATAGAAAGCATTGAAGACAGATGAAGTGTTTAAGGCTTCACATCATTTTAATTAAAAAAAAAAAAAAAAAATATATATATATATATATATATATATATATATATATATATATATATATATATATATATATATATTCATTCATTCATTCATTCATTTTCTTTTTGGCTTAGTCCCTTTATTAATCTGGGGTCGCCACAGTGGAATGAACCACCAACTCTCCAGCATATGTTTTACACAGCGGATGCCCTTCCAGCTACAACTCCTCACTGGGAAACATCCATACACACTCATTCACACACATACACTAAGGACAAGTTAGGGAAGAAGGTTGCTGGTTCGAGTCCCGGCTGGGTCAGTTGGTGTTTGTGTGGAGTTTGTATGTTCTCCCTATGTTGGCAAATGCACTATTGGCGAATTAACTAAATTGGTCATAGTGTATGAGTCTGAGAATGATTTTGTATGGGTGTTTCCCAGTACTGGGTTGCGGCTGGAAGGTCATCCGCTGTGCAAAACATATGCTGGAATAGTTGGTGGTTCATTCCGCTGTGGCGACTCCTGATTTATAAAGGGACTAAGCCCAAAAAAATGAGTGTGCTGATCTGACTGTATATCAGTTCAATCAAATACACTGCAAATATACAGGTGAACGTAGAGAAATGTGTAAGTGCAGCCAAAATAATGCACAAAATTTCTGTGTATTTTAACATCTGAATCTAGCTTTAATACATCAGGATTCCTCTATATTTAAGTACTATTTAATAACATCAAAAATCAGACGTCCTATATTGATGTCTGCATGAAATTGCATTTATAAAAGTGATTATAAAGCTATCGAAAGCATAAAACACAAGCAAAGTGTTTGATGCTACACATTTTTTATAAAATAAAATAAGATATAATCTAAAAAATATTAATTATTATAAAATAATTTAAAAATGAAGTTTCAAAATATGAGTGAAATAAAGTTCAATCTACTCATGTATGCAGAAGAAACCCGGTGTATTCTGAGCTGTACTTATTAAAACATATCAAATAATTATTCATATTAAATGTGATTCTGTTCAATTCCTGCTGTCAAATGTGTTAAATGTGTTGTTTTAAATGATAGTGGTGAAGAATAAAGATTTCAGATGATGATTGGTGAGTATTTTGGATGTCAGAAAATGATCCTAGTGTCAGATAAGATTTTAGATTTTAGTCTAAATGAAATTGTCTTTACACCTCAGCTATTGATCTCATATGCAGACGGAGCTACAGGTGAGTGTGTGTGTGTTATTTTAAATTGCATTATGTACATCTATTTCAATGTGATTGAATTCAGTTTTTTACAGCTCCATTCAGATTATTCCAGATTAAATGGTGTATTTATTTGTTTTTAAGCTAGTGAATGATGCTCACCATTTGATTAATTTTAGAAATTATATCTAGTTCAAAATTAGAAAAGTGGTCTGTATTTGTTTGTAGTCTTAATGGATGTATTCTTGTGTTGTTTCTGCAGGAGGCGCTGCTGAGCTCTGCTACTGACATTTACCAGGTATATGAGTAAAAGCATGCCCATATGAGTAAATAACAATAACATGAAGAAAATTGCTGGAGTTTACACACCTTTAAGAGTGTACAACAAGAATGTAAACATGATATGTACACGTTGGTCCATGTAGTATCTTTAAAAAGCACACACAATGGGGATTTTTGTGTAAAACGTGGATTTTTGTTTATAAATGCGAATGTCTTCTTAATTTATTTATGTTTCTTGTTTATTTTAAATAAAGTAAATGTAAATTGCATAGTATTGCTCCAGATTAATAAAGAGACTAAGCCGAAATAAAAATGAATGGATGAATAATAATGATAATAATCATTTAAAATTAGATTTAATATAGTATTAAATAATAAATATGAGTATATTTAAACTCATGAAATGTAATATGCATATTTATTTTACATTATTATTATTATGACATTAATTTATTATACATTTATTTGTTAAATAACTAAGTAAATAATAAATAAAATATAATAAATGATTACTATTATTTATACTCCTATTATAATAATATACTTAAATTACATGTTTTATGTAATAAGTAAGATAAAAAAATTAATAAAAAGCTAATTCTGAGAAAATTTTATATGAGTAATTAATTATATATATAAAAGTGTGTGTATATATACAGTTGAAGTCATCTAACTTATATACACACACACACACACACACATATATATATATATATATATATATACACACACACACACACAGTTGAAGTCTCAATTTAGTAATAGTGTTAATAACTCATCTCTAATAACTGATTTATTTTCTCTTTGCCATGATGACAGTAAATAATATTAGACTAGATATTCTTCAAGACACTTCTATACAGCTTAAAGTGACATTTAAAGCATTAACCAGGTTAATTAGGTTAACTTGGCAGGTAAGGTTAATAAGCAAGTTATTGTATAATGATGGTTTGTTCTGTAGACTATCGAGAAAAAATATAGCTTAAAGGGGCTAATAATGTTGACCTTAAAATGGTATTTAAAAAAATAAAAACTGCTGTTATTTTTGGCGAAATAAAACAAATAAGACTTTCTCCAGAAGAAAAAATATTATCAGACATACTGTGAACATTTAATTGCTCTGTTAAACATCATTTAGGAAATATTTAAAAAAGAAAAAAAAAATCAAAGGGGGCTAATAATTCAGACTTCAACTGTATGTATATATTATATATTTGAGATACTAAAATTCTAACAGATAAATTTGTACAAATTATTTCATTTATTTAACTACTTAGTTACACTATGAAAAAAATATATCCATGAAATAGCATTTTTGGGGGGGATTTTAATCTTTCTTCCAACATCTTTTAATCGTGAAAAGTGAAATAAGTGACTTGTCTGCTCGTGTGTATTAGTGTGCAGTGCTGTCTAGGTTGGTGTTGTATATTACGCTACAGAAACCTTGTAATTAACTGCAGCACATTTTCAACACTTATTTTTCTAGTTATTATTTCTTATACATTATTATATTATCTCAAACTACTGAAATGTCAGTAAAAGTCACTTTGTTAAACTGTAGAGTTGAATTTACAGCTTCAGAAGTGGACAAAGCAGAGGTCAACATCCCATAATGCAATTCACAACCACAAATAAACACAGACCGCTTAAGAATCGCAATATACAGACACTGTTCATTAACAGATATATTAACAGAGTAGTTATTTACAGGTAGTTAATGAAAAGGTGTTTTTGGAAACAAAGATGCATCTAAGATCGTCTGAAATGTTTATAACAGGAAAACTGGAGAGAGAGAGAGAGAAAGAGAAAGAGGGATGTTGTGACAGAGGAAATGATGTCGTCACGAGTGCTGCAGTACCTGTGTGTGTATATCATCATAACGGATTATTCAGAAGAAGAAGAAGAATCCAGAAGACGAGATCGAGTAGAGTTCAGCAGCTCCACACACAGCCGTAAGTGCCCAGACTTCTCTTTTATTTTTATACACAGAATATATTACTCACACAAACACCCCTTCAACATTTCTCACATCATCATCAGCAGCAGCAGATTATTCACTAAGTCTTGTTAAATGTTAAACTGTCAGAGTAAGTTTATATCGATAACTTCAGAGTGACAGAACAGAATATAGTATAAGTAACATTTACACTAGAATGATAGAATATAATTATTGAATGCAATGAAAGAATACAGAATTAAAGAATGGATATTATAGAATAGAAAGAGAGCAGAATATGATAGAATAGAATATTATAAATTTAGATTATTGTAGAATGATAGAATAGAATATTATAAATTTAGATTATTGTAGAATGATAGAATATTATAGATTTAGATTATTATAGAATGATAGAATAGAATATTATACATTTAGATTATTGTAGAATGATAGAATAGAATATTATAGAGTTAGATTATTGTAGAATGATAGAATAGAATATTATACATTTAGATTATTGTAGAATGATAGAATAGAATATTATAAATTTAGATTATTGTAGAATGATAGAATATTATAGATTTAGATTATTATAGAATGATAGAATAGAATATTATAGAGTTAGATTATTATAGAATGATAGAATAGAATATTATAGAGTTAGATTATTGTAGAATGATAGAATAGAATATTATAGAGTTAGATTATTGTAGAATGATAGAATAGAATATTATAGAGTTAGATTATTATAGAATGATAGAATAGAATATTATACATTTAGATTATTGTAGAATGATAGAATAGAATATTATAGAGTTAGATTATTGTAGAATGATAGAATAGAATATTATAAATTTAGATTATTGTAGAATGATAGAATATTATAGATTTAGATTATTATAGAATGATAGAATAGAATATTATAGAGTTAGATTATTGTAGAATGATAGAATAGAATATTATACATTTAGATTATTGTAGAATGATAGAATAGAATATTATAAATTTAGATTATTGTAGAATGATAGAATATTATAGATTTAGATTATTATAGAATGATAGAATAGAATATTATACATTTAGATTATTGTAGAATGATAGAATAGAATATTATAAATTTAGATTATTGTAGAATGATAGAATATTATAGATTTAGATTATTGTAGAATGATAGAATAGAATATTATAGAGTTAGATTATTATAGAATGATAGAATAGAATATTATACATTTAGATTATTGTAGAATGATAGAATAGAATATTATAAATTTAGATTATTGTAGAATGATAGAATATTATAGATTTAGATTATTATAGAATGATAGAATAGAATATTATAGAGTTAGATTATTGTAGAATGATAGAATAGAATATTATAGAGTTAGATTATTGTAGAATGATAGAATAGAATATTATAGAGTTAGATTATTGTAGAATGATAGAATAGAATATTATACATTTAGATTATTGTAGAATGATAGAATAGAATATTATAGAGTTAGATTATTGTAGAATGATAGAATAGAATATTATAAATTTAGATTATTGTAGAATGATAGAATATTATAGAGTTAGATTATTGTAGAATGATAGAATAGAATATTATAGATTTAGATTATTATAGAATGATAGAATAGAATATTATAGAGTTAGATTATTGTAGAATGATAGAATAGAATATTATAGAGTTAGATTATTGTAGAATGATAGAATAGAATATTATAGAGTTAGATTATTATAGAATGATAGAATAGAATATTATAGAGTTAGATTATTATAGTATGGAATGAACAAACACAATATTATAGAATAGAGTGATAGAATAGATCATTAAAGAATAAAATAGAATGGTAGAATAGAACATTATAGAATAGAATGAGAGTACAATATTAAAGATTAGAATGATAGAATAATATAAAATAGAATGATGGAATAGAATATAGAATAGAGTATTATAGAATAGATCAATGGAATAGAATATTATAGAAAATAATGATAGAATAATATAGAATAGAATGATGGAATAGAATATTAAAGAATAGAATGATAGAATAGATTGTTGTAGAATAGAATGATAGAATAATACATAACAGAACAGAATGATAGAATATAATAGAGTAGAATGATTGAATAGAATATTATAGAATAGAATGATAGAATAGATTAATATAGAATATTATAGAATAGAATGAACAATCACAATAATATGGAACAGAATGATAGAATAGACCATTATAAAATAAAATGATAGAATAATATATAATAGAATAGAATGAGAGAGTAGAATATTATAGAATAATATATAATATAATAATAATAATAATAATAATTTTTATTTATATAGCGCCTTTCCAGAGCTCAATGACACTTTACAAGGAATGCGACAAAAAAATAAACAAACATACATGAAGTCAAATATAACAAACTGGAATTACACAAACAAGACCTAAGAGACATATGAGCAGAGTGGAAGTGGATCAGATAAAGTAGTCAGTTTGGCAGATCAGAAGTGAAGCATTCAGAAAATAAGTGAGTCTTAAGTAAGGATTTGAATTCAGAGATATTATTAGCAGAGCTGAGTGAGCGTGGTGGAGAGTTCCAGAGTTTGGGTGCAATAACACTAAATGATCTGCCCCCCATTGAAGAGAGGCAGTTCCGAGGGACAGAGAGAAGGCCAGAGTCAGCTGAACGTAAAGAGCAAGCAACAAAAGTTATAATGAGAGAGTAGAATATTGTAGATTATAATGATGAAATCAAATATATGGAATGATAGAATAGATTATTATAGAATATTATTTAATAGAATGGAATGAACAAACAATATTAAAGAATAGAATGATAGAATAGATCATACAATAGAATGATAGAATAGAATATTATAGAATTAAATGATAGAATAATAAATAAAATCCAACAGAATTAAACAGTAGAATAGAATGACAGAACATACTGTATATAATAAAATAGAATGGTGGAATTGAATATTAGAGTATAATGATAGAATAGAACAGAATAGAATAAAATAGAATGATCGACTATTGTAGAATAGAATGATAGAGCAATATAGAATAGAATATTATTTATAGAGTAGAATAGAATGATAGAACATTTCGAATAGAATAGAATGCCTCCTTGTATGTAAGTGGCTTTGAACAAACCCATCTGCCGCCCCTAACCCTTTCATTTTATTTTACATTTCATTATTTCATTAGTTATTTATTTCAGTTCATAACTTTTAATTCTCTCCTGTGTTTATTTGCCTGAATTTTCAGCTACATTTACTATATGTGTGTCATATATTGTTTGTGCAATATGCGGTTGAGGTTTGGTCCATCTGTTTCTGAACTGATTTTGTACTGTAACTTATTTAGTTTCTTGTTATTTGTTCTTTTTTTTTCTCCTTTATTCGTCATTAAAATCAAATAAATAAATCATACATAAAGTATTTGCTAAATGATTAAATGTAAATGGAGAATAGAATGATATGATTGGATACGTGATGGATTTAATTTAATCCACTAAATATTGTCAGCTGCTACTTTTAAGTCCACAGTTAGAGGATAGCAGTTGCAGTTAAGCTTTCAACTCCTGATTTTATACATTTTGTTTAACACAGTCGATTAGTTGTATTAACTTGTGTGCATGTTTAATCAACTTAACATTTAAAGTTTAGTAAACTTTGTTAAATTTACAATCTTGTGTTTAGTTGATCAGAAATATGGAGTTTGAAATGTAAGTTCACTGTAACCACTGTTATACAATTACTTGCACAATTCCCCTAACTTGCCTAATCAAGCTAGTTATTCCTTTACTGGATCAATATTAATACTCATATATACACACATTTATAGAAGTAAATAATTAGTGATAATCAGTGATAGCATTGAAATTCTGAACACAGTATGGGTCATTTTTTTACTGTATAGGTCATTTTCCTCCACAGATGTCGGTGTCTGACAACATCTTCTCTGTGCACGAGGCGTCTTCAGACTCCAGCGCTCAGACTCCGATGGACTCGGCCCTGTATACTCAGACCATCAGCTTTACTAAGAGTCCCGAGGTGATGATGGGTTATTTACCGTACTCCTCCTGTCTGAACAACCCAAACACCAACACTGAGCGCTCAGTGCAGCAGAGTTCTGCACATACACAGGTAATAACACACTAACATACACACAGACATACACACTAACACAAAAATTCTTGCACACAAACACACAGAGACTAACAAACAAACAAACAAACACACTGACACACAAACATATAACAGAATAACGCACAAACACACCAACACATTTCTATCTTTATTTGCGTCTGTTTTTTTTTTTTTTTTTTTTTTTTTGTATATTGAGTCAAGACATGTGATCTGTTAAACGGTCGGGGTTAGAAATTACAGTTCTATATATTATATTACATTACATTACATTATATTATGTTAAATTATATTATATTATGTTATCTTATATTATATTATGTTATGTTATGTTATGTTATGTTATGTTATGTTATATTATATTATATTATATTATATTTTATTATTTTATATTATATTATATTATACTAAATTATATTATATTATATATTATATTATACTAAATTATATTATATTATATATTATATTATACTAAATTATATTATATTATATATTATATTATACTAAATTATATTATATTATATTATACTAAATTATATATTATATTATATTATAGTATATTATATTAAATTCTTTTATATTAAATTATATTATATTTTATTATATTATATTATATTTTATTTTGTTATTTAATATTTTATTTTATTATATTTAAATATATTATATTTTATTATATTATATTATTTTATATTTTGTTATTTTATATTTTAATTTATTATATTTTATTATATTATATTATATTATGTTATATTATTATGTTATGTTATATTATATTATTTTATATTATATTATACTAAATTATATTTTATATTATATTATACTAAATTATATTATATTATATATTATATTATACTAAATTATATTATATTATATTATACTAAATTATATATTATATTATATTATATTATAGTATATTATATTAAATTATTTTATATTAAATTATATTATATTTTATTATATTATATTATATTTTGTTATTTTACATTTTATTTTATTATATTTAAATATATTATATTTTATTATATTATATTATTTTATATTTTATTTTATATTTTAATTTATTATATTATATTATATTATATTTTATTTTATTTTGTTATTATATTATATTATATTATATTATATTATATTATATTATATTATATTATATTATATTATATTATATTATATTATATTATATTAGAATACGGGTAAAATAACTAGTACATTAGTTCTAGAGATAATAGTTCCTATTATTTATATAATCTTATATAATTTCATCAGTTTAGACTATTTAGTTTTTTTTTTCTTCATATGAAATTGTTTTGAATGCAAACAGGGATATTTAATGCTTGTAGATAGAGAGCTTATGATTTGCTAAATAAGCTGACTAAATAAATGAAGATGGAATAGAAAGTTTGAGAAATGTTTGCTGTGAATATGCTTCATTAAACTCCAGAATGTATCAAATGAATAATCCAGTGAGAACACTTTGTATGTTGGATGCATTTAGATTGGATCATTCGTGTTGATGTTTTTGTGGTGGATTTACAGTTTATTGGTGGATCCACGTGACTGCCATTTTCACAACATACATTTCACAAGCAATCGCCCACATTGACCAACAGAAAGACGTTTGCTTTAAAGAGATTTGTGTGTGAAATAGAAATGTCACTGTAATGAAATCACACCACAAGATCAATTACCTATTTCTTTTTGCTCAACAGTAGTTATTTATATTCAGTTTGTGACATATTTTCCAATCACGTCTACTGAAGCTCCATGAAAAACCTCAAATCTAAAGTTTATATGTCATAATGCTACCTCTGAGATGTACACAATAGATTGAACAACAGCGTTTACACCAAAACAGTGTACTAAAAAAATGAATGCAATTAGGCAAGTTATGGTAATTAGGCAGTAAATGAACAGTGCTTTAGGGTTTTCTGAGGAGTCTAACAGTATTCAAGTACAGAAATTGAACAATCAAATGTAAAATAACAAGCTCATCATTGTATAAAGAAATAAAAACTATATATGCAATAAAATCTTTATCTTTTAACCTTTAATAAATAGTCTAATCCGTGATGCGGTGGTGCAGTGGGTAGCACAATCGCCTCACAGCAAGAAAGTTGCTGTTTCAAGCTTAGGCTGGGCCAGTTGGCATTTCTATGTGTTGTTTGCATGTTCTCCCCGTGTTGGCGTGGGTTTCCTCCGGGTGCTCCGGTTTTACCCACAGTCCAAACACATGCGGTACAAGTGAATTGGGTTGCTAATATATCCGTAGTGTATGTGTGTAATTGAGTGTGTATGAGTGTTTCCCAGTGATGGGTTGCGGCTGGAAGGGCATCCGCTGCGTAAAACGTGCTGGATGAGTTAGTTAGTTAGTTGGTGGGTGGGTGGGTGGTTTAGTTAGTTAGTTAGTTAGTTAGTAGAACTTGTAGTGGCAGTAGTATAATTGTTTGTTAGTTAGTTAGTTAGTTAGTTAGTTAGTTAGTTAGTTAGTTAGTAGAACTTGTAGTGGCAGTAGTATAATTGTTAGTTAGTTAGTTAGTAGAACTTGTAGTGGCAGTAGTATAATTGTTAGTTAGTTAGTTAGTTAGTTAGTTAGTAGAACTTGTAGTGGCAGTAGTATAATTGTTAGTTAGTTAGTTAGTAGAACTTGTAGTGGCAGTAGTATAATTGTTAGTTAGTTAGTTAGTTAGTTAGTTAGTAGAACTTGTAGTGGCAGTAGTATAATTGTTAGTTAGTTAGTTAGTAGAACTTGTAGTGGCAGTAGTATAATTGTTAGTTAGTTAGTTAGTTAGTTAGTTAGTAGAACTTGTAGTGGCAGTAGTATAATTGTTAGTTAGTTAGTTAGTAGAACTTGTAGTGGCAGTAGTATAATTGTTAGTTAGTTAGTTAGTTAGTTAGTAGAACTTGTAGTGGCAGTAGTATAATTGTTAGTTAGTTAGTTAGTTAGTAGAACTTGTAGTGGCAGTAGTATAATTGTTAGTTAGTTAGTTAGTTAGTAGAACTTGTAGTGGCAGTAGTATAATTGTTAGTTAGTTAGTTAGTAGAACTTGTAGTGGCAGTAGTATAATTGTTAGTTAGTTAGTTAGTAGAACTTGTAGTGGCAGTAGTATAATTGTTAGTTAGTTAGTTAGTTAGTAGAACTTGTAGTGGCAGTAGTATAATTGTTAGTTAGTTAGTTAGTTAGTAGAACTTGTAGTGGCAGTAGTATAATTGTTAGTTAGTTAGTTAGTAGAACTTGTAGTGACAGTAGTATAATTGTTAGTTAGTTAGTTAGTAGAACTTGTAGTGGCAGTAGTATAATTGTTAGTTAGTTAGTTAGTTAGTAGAACTTGTAGTGGCAGTAGTATAATTGTTAGTTAGTTAGTTAGTAGAACTTGTAGTGGCAGTAGTATAATTGTTAGTTAGTTAGTTAGTTAGTAGAACTTGTAGTGGCAGTAGTATAATTGTTAGTTAGTTAGTTAGTAGAACTTGTAGTGGCAGTAGTATAATTGTTAATTATTTATTTAGTTAGTAGAACTTGTAGTGGCAGTAGTATAATTGTTAGTTAGTTAGTTAGTAGAACTTGTAGTGACAGTAGTATAATTGTTAGTTAGTTAGTTAGTTAGTTAGTAGAACTTGTAGTGGCAGTAGTATAATTGTTAGTTAGTTAGTTAGTAGAACTTGTAGTGGCAGTAGTATAATTGTTAGTTAGTTAGTTAGTTAGTTAGTTAGTAGAACTTGTAGTGGCAGTAGTATAATTGTTAGTTAGTTAGTTAGTTAGTAGTGTCAGTAGTAGAATTATCAGATAGTTAGTTAGTTAGTTAATTCTGCTTCTTCTTATTCTTACTACTACTAATACTACAGGTCTTTATATGTCATACACTCATTACCCGTTTTGTTGTTAGTTAGTTAGTTAGTTAGTTAGTTAGTTAGTTTGTAGTGGCAGTAGTAGAATTATCAGTTAGTTAATTTGTTAGTTAGTTCTTTTTTTCATTTTCTTCTTCTTATTATTATTACTACTATTATTATTATTACTACTACTAATACTACAAGTCTTTGTTATACTTTACCCGTTTTGTAGTTAGTTAGTTAGTTAGTTTGTTAGTTAGTTAGTTTGTTTGTTAGTTAGTTAGTTAGTTGTACTAGTAGTGGCAGTAGTAGAATTATCAGTTAGTTAGTTAGTCGTGTGGTTGGTTGGTTAGTTAGTTAGTTAGTTAGCTAGTTAGTAGTGGCAGTAGTAGAATTATTAGTTAGTTAGTTAGTTAGTTAGTTAGTCTTATTCTTATTACTAATACTAATACTACAGGTCTTTATATGTCATACTCACATTACCCGTTTTTCTAGTTAGTCAGTTAGTTAGTTAGTTAGTTAGTTAGTTAGTTAGTTAGTTAGCTAGTTAGTAGTGGCAGTAGTAGAATTATTAGTTAGTTAGTTAGTTAGTTAGTTAGTTAGTTAGTTAGTTAGTTAGTTAGTTAGTCTTATTCTTATTACTAATACTAATACTACAGGTCTTTATATGTCATACTCACATTACCCGTTTTTCTAGTTAGTCAGTTAATTAGTTAGTTAGTTAGTTAGTTAGTCCTGCGATACACACATTATAATATCCATGCTTAAATGATATACACTATTGTTCAACCTTAATGAAAACTGCAATAGCTTGTATTAACTTCAGTTCGTGTTTCTCTTTTGTGACTCTCTGTTAAGGATTTTGCTCAGTTTCTGGAGCCACCGCCAGCGTCTGCGCTCCGCCTGTGCGCACAGAAGCGAGGTGTGAGTAAAGACAGTGCTGAGTACCGGCAGAGGAGAGAGAGAAACAACATCGCCGTCAGGAAGAGTCGAGATAAAGCGCGGCGCCGCATCCAGATGACCCAGCAGAGGGCGCTGCAGCTGCAGGACGAGAATCAACGGCTGCAGGTGCACATCCAGCGCCTGCTGCACGAGGTGGAGGCGCTCAGGCATTACCTGTCCCAGCGTCACCTGCAGGACACATCTGAGGAGCACTGATGAGAATACACCTGGAGAACACAAACCTGAGGAACACACACCTGAAGAAAACACCTGAGAAACACACCTGGAGAACACAAACCTGAGGAACACACACCTGAAGAAAACACCTGAGAAACACACCTGAGGAACACTGCTGCGAACACACACCTGGAGAACACACCTGAGGAACACACACCTGAAGAACACAACTGAGGAACAAACACCTGAAGAACACACCTGAGGAACACACACCTGAGGAACACTGCTGCGAACACACACCTGAAGATCACACCTGAGGAACACACACCTGAAGAACACACCTGAGGAACACACTCCTGAAGAACACACTCCTGAAGAACACATCTGAGGAACACACTCCTGAGGAACACACACCTGAGGAACGCACACCTGAGGAACACACACCTGAAGAACACACTCCTGAGGAACACTGCTGCGAACACACACCTGAAGATCACACCTGAGGAACACACACCTGAAGAACACACCTGAGGAACACACTCCTGAAGATCACACCTGAGGAACACACACCTGAAGAACACTGGTGTGAACACACACCTGAAGATCACACCTGAGGAACACACACCTGAAGAACACACCTGAGGAACACACACCTGAAGATCACACCTGAGGAACACACACCTGAAGAACACACCTGAGGAACACACTCCTGAAGATCACACCTGAGGAACACACACCTGAAGATCACACCTGAGGAACACACACCTGAAGATCACACCTGAGGAACACACACCTGAAGATCACACCTGAAGATCACACCTGAGGAACACACACCTGAAGAACACACCCCTGAGGAACACTGCTGAGAACACACACCTGAAGATCACACCTTAAGATCACACCTGAGGAACACACACCTGAAGAACACACCCCTGAGGAACACTGCTGAGAACACACACCTGAAGAACACACCCCTGAGGAACACTGCTGAGAACACACACCTGAAGATCACACCTTAAGATCACACCTGAGGAACACACACCTGAAGAACACACCCCTGAGGAACACTGCTGAGAACACACACCTGAAGATCACACCTTAAGAACACACCCGAGGAACACACACCTGAAGAACACACCCCTGAGGAACACTGCTGAGAGCACACACCTTAAGAACACACCCGAGGAACACTGCTGAAGATCACAATTAAGTAACACACACCTAAAAAACACAGCTGAAGATCACACCTGAGAAACACACACCTGAAGAACACACACCTGAGTAACACTGCTGAGAATACACATCTGAAAAATACACCTGAAGATCACACCTGAGAAACACACACCTAAGGAACACTGCTAAAGATCAAACCTGAGGAACACACACCTGAAGAATACACCTGAGATCACTCACCTGAAGATCACAGCTGAGAACACACACCGGATGAACTCTGCTGAGAACACACACCTGAGGAACACACCTGAGACGACACAGGTTTATGTTCAGATCAACATTTTGTAGTATTATTTAGGTTGAAAGTGAGTGTGTGACATGTGGAATGTAGAGTTTGATCTGCTGATGATCTGCTGCTTTTTGTATCTTCAGATCCTCATTAGTGCTGCACAGTACTGTTAACCACAATAACTGATGAGCCGTCCTGTCAAATTTAGATTTCAAATATTTCCCAAATGATGTTTAACAGAGCGAGAAAATAATTACAGTATTACTTATATTTTTTTTTCTAATATTTTTTTTATTTGGCTGGTATAAAATCAGGTTTTACATAAAAAAAAAAAAAAAAAAAAAAAAATATATATATATATATATATATATATATTTTAAAGGTCAATATTATTAGTCACTTTAAGATGTTAAGTTTTTGTTTGTTTCAGTTTTAATAAATAGTTTAGATTTTTATAAGCAGCAGAGGCTGGATTTAGTATGTAAAAATTAAATATTTTAGAAATAAAATAGCATTTTTAACACGCTGTAAATGGTTGAAAAGCAATAAAGATTTAATATCGGGACTCTGTTACAGGATTTTGGTTATTATAATCTTATTACTAATCTAAAGTCTCTGATTGGCTCTGAATGTTCATAATGTTCAATAAAAACTTGTAAATGTAAATAAAATAATATTTTTTGTCATGTTTTATTTTTTTTCCCAGAGATGGGTTGCAGCTGGAAGGGCATCCGCTGCGTAAAAACTTGCTGGATAAGTTGGTGGTTCATTCCGCTGTGGCGACCCCGGATTAATAAAGGCACTAAGCCGACAAGAAAATGAATGAATGTTTTTATTTTTATTGATTGCAGATGAGGCGTTTGGTGTTTTTATTTATTTTAACAAAATGTGATAACTTTTAAAATTAATTTATTAATTTAACGCATTTCTAGGAAATGTATCATAATATAATGTGTTCATCTGTTTTTTGTAATATGTTTTTAATTTTTTAATTTTTCTGTAACAATCACAGATGATGTTTATATATATATATATATATATATATATATATATATTTTTTTTTTTTTTTTTTAAATTGCATATATTTTATTTTAACCTAATTTAATAATTTTGTTAATTAATTTATTGATTTAACACTTTTTTTTTTTATGTGTTTTTATTTTTGCTCTGCTCATATTTGACCTTTTGACCCAAAACCGTCAGCATTTCTCCTTCACCCTGTCAGAATGTGCAGTTGTTCAGCCTCTCTCCTCCAGATTTCAGTGTAAAACCATTTTAAACTGTTTTCATGATTTATTCATCTATAATAATTAGTTTTATACAAAAACAAAAATCCAAAAACCTTTTTTGTCCTTTATTTGCCCCAGTTTGAAAGCTCAACTTTTTAAATTTATTTTCTTTTATATTTGACCTTTTGGGGTGATGCAGTGGCTCAGTGGTTAGCACTGTGCCCTGACGAAGGTCACAGCCAATTTAGTTCATCGATTCACATATAGCATGTGTTTGGACTGGGGGAGAACATGCAAACTCCACACAGAAACGCCAACTGACCCAGCCATGAGGCTACAGTGCAACACCACTAAAGCAGTTTGAACTCTTTCTTTGTAAAATCTTTGACCTTTTGACCCAAAGCATCCAACATTTCCAGTTTTCCACACTTTCTCCATCAGATTTTAGTGTAAAAGTGTTTTTAAACATCGTATTGTTCATTTATTCATCTTCTATTACAATTTTATTTCAAAATCAATAATTATATGTCATTTAAATTTTATTTTGAAATTTGTTAATATTGTAAATTGTAAAAAAATATATATATTTAAATTTTTTTTCCAAATGCTTTGTTTGCTTGTAAACTTTTTAGTTATTTTACATTATTATTTTTCCAAAACAGCCACCATTTTTATGACTCTGTTAGTATAATAATAATAATAATAATAATTATTATTATTATTATTATTATTATTATTATTATTATCATCGTAACTGCCATCATTATTATAAATACAATTCTGTGATTATTATAAATTTTATTATTATTATTATTATTATTATTATTATTATCATATATTCTATAAATACAATTGTGTAATTATTATATTTTATGTTAATAATAATAAATATAATCACATACTATTTTTATTTCTATTTATTATGCTATTTATTAATCAAATATTACTTTTTCAATTAGCTATTTATGTAATTATGCATGTATTAAAAGTTATACATGTATATTAGTCAAATTTAAATTCTTTTATTATTCCAAAACAGCCACCATTTATTCTTGACCCTGTCAGAATTTTATTATTATTATTGTTGTTGTTGTTCTTATTATCATAATTGTCAACTTTATTATATTATGTAAATACAATTGTGTAATTTTATTATTATTATTATTATTATCATCATCATAATAGTTAACATTAATATATTATGTAAATACAATTGTGTAATTATAAAGATTATTATTATTATTACTGTTGTTATTATTATTTTATTTATTATTATTAATATTATTATTATTATTATTATTATCCTAGTTGTGTCATTATTATATAAATATAATTGTTTAATTTTTGTTTTTTGTAATATTTATTGCTAATATTGCATATATTTCATAATTGTCATCGTTATTATATAAATACAATTGTGTAATTATTATAAATATTATTATTATCATCATAATTGTCATCATTATTTTATATTATATAAATATAATTGTGTAATTACTATACATACTTTAATATGTTATTTATAAATCAAATATTGCTTCTTCAATTAGTTAGTCATATAATTATGCATGTATTAAATGTTAATAATTATTCATTTTGTACTGTAATTTTTATTATACGTCATTAAAATTGTATTCTTAAGATGTATTAATATTTAATTATTTATGAATTTTAGTTTTTGACAACTTTTTGTCCCTTATGCCCCTTGTTTCTTTGTTTTTCCTTGTTTTTTTTTTGTTTTGTTTTTTTATATTTGCTCTTTTGACCCAAACTATTTCTCCTTGACCCTGTCAGTATGTGTTTTCCGCATGTTTCTCCATCAGATTTCTCAGTTTGATCTGCAGTTTTCACCCTCATCTCTTCAGTGTGTCTGATTTCTGCGTTTAATCTGTCGTTTTCTGCTCATGCATTGATTGTAATTGCTCAACACAACGGCGCGGTGCTCTTTCCTCCAGCAAACGGCTGTAATGAGGTGTTTCAGCATGATAGCATTGCTGTGTTTCCCCTGCCAGCGCTGATGCTCATGCTTTATCTATATTGGCGCTACACAGATGAGGGAGTCTGATAACACAGGCCTTCATTAATGCACACTACTGTTGATGTTTGTGTTGTAAGCTCTGCTCCGTGTGCTTGTGTTTGAGTAATCTGTGGTCCCAGACCTGAAATCTGGCCACAGGGTGAGGAAAGAGTGTGTGTGTGTGGAAACTGAGCCTCTGTTACTCAATGCAGTGCTGGAGGACGGGTGCAACACACACACCTGACCCTCCGCTGCAATACAACACTGCTTTTTAGACTGTTTTTATTAATGTTTCATTAAATTGAATATTTACTAAATAGTGTATTTATTATCCACTGGTGCTGGATGAGGATACTAGTTGTTATTATATTATGTAAATACAATTCTGTAATTATTATAATTATAATTATTATAATCATTATAATTATAATTATTAATATCGTTATATTATGAAAAAACAATTGTGTTTATTATTATTATTAATGTTATTAATATCATCATCATTATATAAATACAATTGTGTAATTATTAATAATATAATTATTATTATATTATGTAAATACAATTGTGTAATTATTGTAATAATATATTATTTATAAATACAATTGTGTAATTATAATAATATTATTATCATATTATATATATAAAAATACAATTGTGTAATAATAATAATAATAATTATTATTATTATTATATTATATAAAAACAATTGTGTATTATTATTCTTATTATTATTATTATGATTATTATATAAATAGAATTGTGTAATTATTATTAATAACAATATTATTATATTATGTTAATACAGTTGTGTATTTATTATTATTATTATTAATATTATCATCATTACGTAAATACAAATGTGCAATGATTATTAATAAAATTGTTGTTGTTTATAATAATATAAACACTATCTTATGTTTATTATGTTGTTTATTACTTAAATATTAAGTTTTAAATGTGTTAGTGTAATTATGCATATTAAATACTAAACATATTTTAATGTCAAATTCAAAAACAGCTTTTTAGACAGTAAGATTTAATTATTTACGTTTAATTAAATATGAATTTTTCTATTTATTATTTTTTAATTATGTATAATCATATGTATGAATTACATATATATATATATATATATATATATATATATATATATATATATATATATATATATATATATATATAATTGTATTTATATTTTATTTTATTTCTATTATTTTATTTATTAATTTCTATCATTTTATTTATTATTGTTTTATTTATTTTATATTATTTAATTAAACTATTTATTAGATATTATTTATTATTGACCTTTTTGACAACTGTTATTTGTCATGTATTAAATATGCTGTACATTTATTAATATTTGTCAAAGTGGAGAAATTTTGCTTTTTAAATTTTTAATTTTTTATACCTTTATTAAATATTCATTATAAATTATCAAGATGTTATATTAATATTTAATTATAATGTATTAAACAAAGAGCTTACGGTTTAATTAAATTTATCATAAATGTATTAAAAATCTATTTGTATTATAATTTTCCTTTAGAATACATGTTTTACTCTAAAATATTTACATTTATATTTTATTATGTAAAAATAATACTACATTAATATTAGTACTATGCAAGCTTGAAGTTTTATTGAAATCCATTTATTTTAAATATTTATAACATTATAACATTCTTAATATATATTTTTTACATTTTAGATGTTGTTTTTTTATTTAACACGATTGTAATATTATATTAAAACAAATATTATTACTATCATTAGACTTGAAGTTTTATTCAAATTGATTCTGTATATTATTATTATTATATATATATATATATATATATATATATATATATATATATATATATATATATATATATATATATATATATATATATATATATATATATATATAAATTTTAAGCATGCACCCATAAATCATGTTATAATAATCTAATTTTATAAATTGCAATTATGTGTGATGTTTAAAACTATTAATCCCTGTGTATAATTATTTTGATGATATACTGTGCTATATTGATGTACTATTGTACTATAATGATTATTATAATGATCAAAATGAGACTTTTGCACTACTTGCCTGATTAATATTTTGTTTTTGTGACATTTTATTTTCGTTCATGCAGTGCTGTACCTTGTGTATACTGTATGTTATGTAGTATGCAGAGCACGTCTGTTGTTTAGTGCTGAATGTCTCTCTCTGGTGGCCGAGACTCTGCACTGCAGCTGCGCCTTCTCAAAGCTTTCCGAAGTTCTCCGAATGTTCCCGATGTTTCCGGCGCTCGCCGCCAGTCGTGCCAGTTTTTCCGCCCTGTCCGCGTCTCTGTGCCGGGATCTGCTTCCGTCCATGACCGTCTCTGTCATTACTGAGGCTTTATTTACCGTCAGTGAACGCGTTTGTTCGGTTGTTCGGCGGAAAACTGATCAACAACACAGAAACGAGAGGCGCTTTTGTTTGTGTAGAGAAACCGTGAACGCGCAGAACGGGCCGAGAAAACAGCAGCAGCATCTTCATCATCCTCATCTTCAGTGTGTGTTTGTGCTGGAAATCTGATGTGAGCAGAGCTTCATCTGGATCTGCAGGAGCAGGTGAGGCCCATTCTTCATCATTCACCAATACAAGCTTTATTTTAATACCAGGATGCTTACTGAAATCTGCTTACGTATCAGGTCAGATCTGCGTTTGTGTTTTAGGAGTTCATTAAAGCAGCATTTCACTTCTCTCTAAATCCACACTTATGTAACTTACATTCCTGCAGTTCTTTCATTCCTCCGTTCACTTTACTCTAAGACCTTTGCCTTCATTCCTTTGCCTTTTCACGTTATGAATAGCATTCTTTTATTCTATCTATCTATCTATCTATCTATCTATCTATCTATCTATCTATCTATCTATCTCTCTATCTATCTATCTATCTATCATTGTTTTACAGTGTATACCACGCTATTACAGAACAAATGATTTATTTCAAACAATGTAATCTTCATTCTTCATCATTTCAATATATTTCAGTTATGGCCAGGTTACTACCTCCTACTTTCTCTTAGTCTCTTAAATTACTAGAACTAACTTACATTACTACACCTGTTACATTACTAGTCTCTCACAGGTTATAGCTAATTTCTTCAGTCTCTCACAGGTTTTAACTAGTCTCTCACCTGGTATAACTAATCTGTCACAGCACAAAACTAGACTCTCCAGTCACTCACCGGTTATAACTAGTCTGTCACAGCACATAAATATTCTCCCCAGTCTCTCACCTGTTATAACTAGTCTGTCACAGCAAGACTAGTCTCTCTGGTCTCTCACAGTTTATAACTAGTCTGGGACAGCACAAAACTAGTCTCTCCAGTCACTCACCGGTTATAACTAGTCTGTCACAGCATGACTAGTCTCTCTGGTCTCTCACGGTTTATAACTAGTCTGGGACAGCACAAAACTAGTCTCTCACCGGTTATAACTAGTCTGTCACAGCACATAACTAGTCTCTCCATTCTCTCACCAGTTCTAACTAGTCTCTCACTGGTTTTAACTAGTCTCTTACAAGTTAAAACTAGTCTGTCACAGCACATAACTATTATCTCTAGTCTCTCACAGGTCATAACTAGTCTCTCATCTGTTATAACTAGTCTGTCACAGCACATAACTATTATCTCTAGTCTCTCACAGGTCATATTTAGTCTCTCATCTTTTATAACTAATCTGTCACAGCACAAAACTAGTCTCTCCAGTCACTCACAGGTTATAACTAGTCTGTCACAGCACATAACTAGTCTCAAACTGGTTCTAACTGGTCTCTCACCTGTAATAACTAGTCTGTCACTGCGCATAAGTAGTCTCCCACAGGGCATTTCTACTCTCCCACAGCACATAACTGGTCTCCCGAGGGCCATAACTAGTCTCTCACAGGTCATAACCATTCTCTCACAAGGCATTACTAGTCTATCTAGTCTGTCACAGGTCATAACTAGTCTCATGGGTCAAAATTAGTCTCTCACGGCACGTAACTACTCTCTCTAGTCTCTCAAAGGTCATAACTAGTCTCACAGATCATAACTAGTCTCTCACAGGTAATAACTAGTCTCTCACAGATCATAACTAGTCTTCCAGGTCATAATTAGTCTCTCACAGCACGTAACTACTCTCTCTAGTCTCTCACAGGTTATAACTAGTCTCACAGATCATAACTAGTCTCTTACAGGTCATAACCAGTCTCTCACAGGCCATAACTGCTCTCACAGGCCATAACTAGTCTCTCACAGGTCATAATTAGTCTCTCACAGCACGTAACTATTCTCTCTAGTCTCTCACAGGTCATAACTAATCTCACAGATCATAACTAGTCTCTCACAGGTTATAACTAGTCTCACAGATCCTAACTAGTCTCTCACAGGCCATAACTAGTCTCTCACATAACTAGTCTCTCACAGGCCATAACTAGTCTCTCACAGGTCATGATTAGTCTCCCACAGGTCATAACTAGTCTCTCACATAACTTGTCTCCCACAGGTCATAACTAGTCTCTCACATAACTAGTCTCTCACAGGTCATAATTAGTCTCCCACAGGTCATAACTAGTCTCTCACATAACTAGTCTCCCACAGGCCATAACTAGTCTCTCAAAGGTCATAACTAGTCTCTCACAGGCCATAACTAGTCTCTCACATAACTAGTATCTCACAGGCCATAACTACTCTCCCACAGGTCATAACTAGTCTCTCACAGGCCATAACTAGTCTCACATAACTAGTCTCTCACAGGCCATAACTAGTCTCCCACAGGTCATAACTAGTCTCTTACATAACTAGTCTCCCACAGGTCATAACTAGTCTCTTACATAACTAGTCTCTCACAGGCCATAACTAGTCTCTCACAGGCCATAACTAGTCTCTCACAGGTCATAATTAGTCTCCCACAGGTCATAACTAGTCTCTCACAGGTCATAATAAGTCTCTTACAGGCCATAACTAATCTATCCATCTGATCCAGCAATGTGTTTGCATGTCTTTGCAGGTTGTCTGTGTTCTTCAGTGTGAGGAAGAGAGAGAGCGAGAGACACAGACACACACAGTCTATCTTTCTCTCTCTCTCTCTTTCTTCTCTCCATCATGTCGTCTCCGCTGGCATCTCCTTCTCCATGTCCTCCACCTCCTCCATCTCTGCCGTCCTCCCCGACGCCCTCGTCTCCTGCCCCGTCCAGTCTGCCGCTGCCACCCGCTCTGCCGCCCACAGGTAGGCATGGCACCATAACCGGTTTCAAGTAGGCATAGGATGATAACCAGTTCAAGCAGGCATGGGACAATAACCAGTCCAGTTTTAAGTATGCATGGGACGATAACCAGTTTTAAGGAGGCATGGGATGATAACCTGTTCAGTTTTAAGTAGACATGGGACACTTACCTGTTCTAAGTAGGCGTGGGACGATAACCAGTCCAGTTTCAAGTAGTCATGTAACAACAGCCAGTTTTAAGTAGGTATGAGACGGTAACTGCTTTCAAGTAAACGTGGGATGATGACCAGTTTCAAGTAGGCATGTGACAATAATTGGTTTCATGTAGACGTGGGACGATCACCAGTTTCAAGTAGGCATGGAATAATAGTTGCTTTCAAGTAGACATGGGACGCTAACCAGTTTTAAGTAGGCGTGGGACAATAACCAGTCCAGTTTCAAGTAGCCATGTGGCAACAACCAGATTTAATTAGGCATGGGACGGTAACTGCTTTCAAGTAAACGTGGAATGATAACTAGATTCAAGTAGGCATGGGACAGTAACTGCTTTCAAATAGGCATGCGACTATAATTGGTTTCAAGTAGATGTGTGACGATAACCAGTTACAAGTAGGCATAAGAAGATAACCAGTTTCAAGTAGGCATGGGACGACAACCTGTCCAGTCTTAAGTAGGCGTGGGACAATAACCAGTCCAGTTTCAAGTAGTCATGTGACAACAACCAGATTCAAGTAGGCATGGGACAATAACTGGTTTCAAGTAAATGTGGGATGATAACTAGATTCAAGTAGGCATGGGACAATAACTGGTTTTAAATAGGCATGTGACTGTGATTGGTTTCAAGTAGACGTGGGACGATAACCAGTTTCATGTAAGCATAAGAAGATAACCAGTTTCAAGTAGACATGGGGCGATAACTGGTTTCAAGTAGATGTCTTGGACGATAACCAGGCATGGGATGACAACCAGTCCAGGTTTAAGTAGGCGTGGGACAACAACCAGATTTAAGTAAGCATGGGTAAGTAAGCAATAACTGCTTTCAAGTAAACGTAGGATGATAACTAGATTCAAGTAGGCATGGGACAGTAACTGGTTTCAAATAGGCACGTGACTATAATTGCTTTCTAGTAGGCATTGGATGGTAACTGGTTTCATGTAGACTTGGGATGATAACTAATTTTAAAAAGACATTGAATGATAACCAGTCCAGTTTTAATTAGGCATAGGACACTAACTGGTTTTCAAATAGGCATGGGACAATTATTGGTTTCTGGTAGGCATAGGGCTATAATCTGTTTCAAGTAGGCATGGGACAATAACTTGTTTCAAGTAGGCATGGGACAATAACCGGTCCAGTTTCAAGTAGGCATGTGACAACAAACAGTAGTCATGGGACAGTTACTGGTTTCAAGTAGACATGGAATGATAACCAGTTTTAAGTAGTGATAAGACGATAACCAGTTTCAAGTAGGCATGGGACGATAACTGTTTTAAAGTAGGCATGGGACGGTAACCGGTTTCAAGTAAGCATGGGATGATAACTGGTTTCAAGTAGGCATGGAAAGATACCCCATTAGATGTGGGATGGTAACCAGTCCAATTTTAAGCAGGCATGAGACAATAACCATTTTTAAGTAGGCATGGGATGATAACCAGTTTCAAGTAGGCAAGGGACAATAACCAGTCCAGTTTTAAGTAGACATGGGACACTTAACTGGTTTCAAGTCGACGAGGGACGATAACCAGTTTCAAGTTGGCATGGGCCGGTGACCAGTCCAGTTTTAAGTAGGCATGGGACAATAACCGGTTTTACGGTATACGGTTTGGAAAAGTGAAGGTTTTAAAACCACTACAATTTTCCGTTTACCAGTCTTATGGTATATGCAAATATTTTTTAATTAGCTTTTTACGACTATTTTATTTAGGTTTTTTCAGGGCAACAGTATCTCCAGCAGCAAAAGATAGCAGAAGTCAATGATTTATTTGAGTTATTTAGCCTGTGAATGTGTACCCACAGGAGAGGTGATGATCCTGGCTCTGGGCCGTAAGAAGCAGCGTCTGCTCATCGCTCTCTCCGTCCTGCCCAATCTGTTCCTGGCATTCCTGCTGTCGTCCGACCCGCTGCTGACTCTGGCTTCTCCTTTCCGCTGTCGTCTGCCCGGCCCAGCGCCTGCTCTAAAGCTGACCAACTCTTCCAGACGGGTGCAGGATCAGCCCGAGTGCAGGCAGTACATCTTCATTAACGGAACACAGACGGGCGTGAGGGACTGCGATGCTGGATTCAACTTCACTGTCACTGAAGGACTGGCCAATAACATCGTCACAGAGGTGAGCCGGATTATGATGGTGTCACATTTCATTTTTTGCAAATAGTTGCTGAAGCTTTTACGCTGATTTATGTACATGACTTTCTGGAATACTCTATTCTGATTGGTCTGTCATGGCATTTTAAGGTATGTAATTCACGTGTAACAACCGCTGAATAACACTAAATCTCATTTAGGAACTGAGAATCACCAACTCGTACCAATTCATATATTTACTCGTCTGTCACGACTGTTTGTTTGACACCATCTAATGTCTGAATAATTTTGCAGGTTAGTGTATACTCCATCAGCTGTTTTAGTTTCTGTCAGCTCTGCGTATTTGTCTTTTTAGTGCCATCTAGTGTCTGAATAATGTGCGGGTTAGTGTATACTCCATCAGCTGTTTAAGTGTCTGTCAGCTTTGTGTTTTTGACTGTTTGGCTCCATCTAGTGTATGAATAATGCGCGGGTTAGTGTATACTCCATCAGCTGTTTCTGTCAGCTTTGTGTTTTAGACTGTTTGTTTCCGTCTAGTGTCTGAATAATGCACAGGTTAGTGTATACTCCATCAGCTGTTTCTGTCAGCTTTGTGTTTTTGACTGTTTGGCTCCATCTAGTGTATGAATAATGCGCGGGTTAGTGTATACTCCATCAGCTGTTTCTGTCAGCTTTGTGTTTTTTACCATCTGGCCCATCTAGTGTCTGAATATTGCGCAGGTTAGTGTATACTCCATCAGCTGTTTTAGTGTCTGTCAGCTTTGTGTTTTTGACTGTTTGTCTCCATCTAGAGTCTGAATATTGCGCAGGTTAGTGTATACTCCATCAGCTGTTTTAGTGTCTGTCAGCTTTGTGTTTTTGACTGTTTGTCTCCATCTAGTGTCTGAATAATGTGCAGGTTAGTGTATACTCCATCAGCTGTTTTAGTTTCTGTTGTGTTTTTGACTGTTTGTCTCCATCTAGTGTCTGAATATTGTGCAGGTTAGTGTATACTCCATCAGCTGTTTCTGTCAGCTTTGTGTTTTAGACTGTTTGTCTCCATCTAGTGTCTGAATAATGCACAGGTTAGTGTATACTCCATCAGCTGTTTCTGTCAGCTTTGTGTTTTTTACCATCTGGCCCATCTAGTGTCTGAATATTGCGCAGGTTAGTGTATACTCCATCAGCTGTTTTAGTGTCTGTCAGCTTTGTGTTTTTGACTGTTTGTCTCCATGTAGAGTCTGAATATTGCGCAGGTTAGTGTATACTCCATCAGCTGTTTTAGTGTCTGTCAGCTTTGTGTTTTTGACTGTTTGTCTCCATCTAGTGTCTGAATAATGTGCAGGTTAGTGTATACTCCATCAGCTGTTTTAGTTTCTGTTGTGTTTTTGACTGTTTGTCTCCATCTAGTGTCTGAATATTGTGCAGGTTAGTGTATACTCCATCAGCTGTTTCTGTCAGCTTTGTGTTTTAGACTGTTTGTCTCCATCTAGTGTCTGAATAATGCACAGGTTAGTGTATACTCCATCAGCTGTTTCTGTCAGCTTTGTGTTTTTTACCATCTGGCCCATCTAGTGTCTGAATATTGCGCAGGTTAGTGTATACTCCATCAGCTGTTTTAGTGTCTGTCAGCTTTGTGTTTTTGACTGTTTGTCTCCATGTAGAGTCTGAATATTGCGCAGGTTAGTGTATACTCCATCAGCTGTTTTAGTGTCTGTTGTGTTTTTGACTGTCTCCATCTAGTGTCTGAATAATGTGCAGGTTAGTGTATAATCCATCAGCTGTTTTAGTTTCTGTTGTGTTTTTGACTGTTTGTCTCAGTCTAGTGTCTGAATATTGCGCAGGTTAGTGTATACTCCATCAGCTGTTTTCATCCTGTCAGCTTTGGGTTTAGAGTTCATGAACTATTATCGCTCAGAGCATTGTTTTGTGTCTAACGTTATGTTTCGCATGTTGTTGCGTAATAATCAGAATACAGCACATGCAGACGGTTGCTATAAAGGCTGAAATGCAGCGCAGCACTGTTGTATAAGACTGAAGGCTTTATTCTATTCAGCATACACATTTTTGATAGAATAGTGAGTTGTAATCTAGTCTTTAACTATAATGTTATTTCTTGCACTAAGGAGCATTCAGTATGTGATTATGGCAATATAGAATGTATTTGCTCTGAATCTGTGTTCGTTAAACACTAACAGCAGCTGATGATGGGTTATTGGTATGCAGACAGTATTCACTCCTCTACTGTAGAGTTGATCTTTAACTAATGTTTGCTCGGTGTCTCTGAAGTCGGAGTCTGAACTCTGTCAGTGTGGATTTACTGGAGGTTGTGATTCTGGATGGGTTTATATTTAGATGATGTTTTGTGCTTCTCCACCCTGACGTCTGCTCATATGTGCTGAAGGACTGGTTTGCTCACATTCAGATGCTGTTGGTCATGTGACTCTGCGGGTTCATGCAACATAAACACAGTCAGTGTTGGGTTAAAACCCAATTGCTGGGCAAAGATTAGTCGTGATTAATTGCAAGTCTGTTTTGACATAAGATATGTGTGCGCGTGTTTATTTTATATATATGCAGCAATATTATTTGCAAATTATGTGTGTTGTTAAATGAGTATATATGTGTATAAATAATGTGTTTGTTCCAGATTAATTAATTAAAAATGAACATGGAGTGACGTCCGGTGTGTTTTGTTTGACTTCCTGTCTCTGTCAGTGGGATCTGGTGTGTTCGCGGTACTGGCTGGTTCCAGTAGAGGAGGTTTGCTTCATTCTGGGGACCCTGACGGGCTGTCTGTGTCTGGGCTACACGTCTGACCGGTGAGACACTCTTCACTCAGGGTTCATACGGTCATGGAAAACCTGGAAAAGTCATGGCATTTTCCAGGCCTAGTTTATTGCTACATTATTATAGTAAACCAAAACTCAAACTAAAGCTGTTGGTCAAACACATTTTCGTTTACTGAAATAAAAAATACTGCTGTCTGTGAGTGTAGTGCTGCTCTGACCTGTGTGTGTGTGTGTCTCTCTCTCTCTCTGTGTGTGTGTTCAGGCTGGGCAGACACCGGTCTCTGCTGGCGTCTCTCACCCTGGCTGTGGTGTTTGGAGTGTGTGTGTGTGTTTCTCCGTCACCGCCGCTCTTCATCGCCATGCGCTTCTGTCTGGCTGCTGCGAGCGCTGGAGTCTACCTCACACTCTACATCACACGTGAGTCACACACACACACACACACACACACACACACACCAGCAGCAGCTTTACTCCTTGCTATAGTAGATTATTCCTCTTATTCCTCTCTATATTCCATTTATTCCTCTATATTGTGATTATTCTGATCTATATTGTGATTATTCTGATCTATATTTAGGTGTTTATTCCAGTTATTCCACTTTATTTTTAACTTTTCTGATCTATATTCTGATTATTCCTCGTTATATTTGGATTACACCATTGTATTACAATCTATATTCAGATTATTTCAGTCTGTTTTAATGAAATATGACAAACTTCAGTTTTATTTCCATGTATACTTCAGTTATTCCTATGTATTTTCTGAATATATTCTGATTACGCACCCGTTTTATTCATATCTACATTGCTTTTATGTACAGAAGGGTTACTTATGTAATTAACATGAAGTTATTTAATGTTTTATAATAGTTTTACATGACAAACATGGTCAAATCTGTTACATGTATGTGTCCTGGAAAATGAAAGTGTCTGCAGAAGGTCATCATACAGTATACTGTAGTGCTGTTTGTACTGTAAACATCAGCTCTGGCATCTGTTGAGTGTAAATCTGAGTCAACATGAGCTGCAGATATGATGATCCTCAAGCAGAATATGGAAGTGTGTATCTGAGCTTGTTGTGTGTGTGTGTGTGTGCAGGTCTGGAGCTGTGTGACCCGTCTCTGCGTCTGCTGGTCACCATGCTGTCCGGTTTGACCATGTTCTCCGGCGAGCTCCTGCTGCTGGCCGTGGCCCTCGGCTGCGGCTCCTGGAGGGGTCTGATTGGGACCGGAGCCGCTCCACTCTCTCTGTTCCTCTGCTACGGGTTAGACACACACACACAATTAGCTGAGGAATAGTTTATTTACTATTACACAAAGCCAGTCTGATGTTGCACAGGTATATTTGATGGAATAGCCCACAATACACTGTCAAAATGACAATATTACAATATTAAAGGAGAGCTATTATGAAATAAATCACATTTATAGAGAGTTTAAACCCAGTCGTGTGTTGGCAGTGTGTGAATATATCCAGCCTCTAATGGGAAAAAGAAATTAATTATATTTATATTTTGCAGAAACACTTTGATTGACATTCTCTATTTGTACAAGTCATCAGAGGGTAAAAAGCTCTGCCCACTAGTGACCATCTCTCCCTCATTAGCATAGTATGTTAGTCTTGTTATTAAATTACAGGCATTTGTAGCTCCGCCCCCTTTTTAAGACAAGAACAATCGCATTTGCATTTAAAGCGACAGTCACCAAAATGGCTGATCGGCTATCAGCTGAACTGTGCAGGTATATGAGCAATCGATCTGCTGACAGATCAGCTGATTGACGATGCTTTCAAATGCTCCCTTGACCACTTTCTGAGCCATTTCAAACGCTGTGTCAGTGGTGTCATCATCACATCAGCCAATAGCGTCCAGCTCTTTCCGACGGCTCCACCCTCAGCATTTCATTGGTGGGGTTTTGGGTTGGGTAAAGAGTTGTCAGATCATGTCGAGTGTGACGCCCTCTTGTGGATCAGTGTGAACAACACAGCAATTCAAAAACAAAACCAAATTTCATAGCGATCTGCAGATGTGTGAACTCATGTAGTGTGTACTAGGCTTTACAGATCTCCCTTTTAAGTTCAGGCGTTTTGTAGGATGCTTCGTGATAAGTGTATATTTGTGTATATACATTAGACCATACACTGTAAAAAATAAATCCGTAAAATTTACTGTAAAAAAACGGCAGCTGTGGTTGCCAGTACTTTAATGTAAAAAACACGGTACAAACCGTAAAAGTAATTTCTCATTTTTACGGTAAATTACCGTATTTTTATAATTTATCGAGGTAATATGTCTGTGTTTTGAATGATCAACATCTACACATCTTTTGTTACTCAGTTAAACACGTTAGCACATCCACATGCAGGAGGTGATGAGGAAGTTACATAACGAGCCAATGCTCGTCACAATCAACTCTTCCCACAAGCAGAAAAGAGTATCAGCATGTAGAAGGTGCTCAGTGTCATTCACACAGCTACTGAACAGCAGCATGGTAACACGCTTACAATTAAAGTCATGAAATAAACATTGTTTATCAACATTAGATGTAACATAAATCTCTAATGTGCATAACTGATGGGAAAACAAGTAAAACAATTTATATCGATGTCAACCAAATGCATAAAAAGTGATGTGCCATGCAGGGAATTCTGGGAAAGTCAATTTACGGTTATTCGCCGTATATATTAAGGAAAAATACCGTTAACCAGGTTACGGATTTGTACTGTAGCATTTTTACAGTTTTTTACCGTTGAAGTCACGGCCATTTTTTACAGTGTACCAAAAGCAAAAGACTAGAACAAAATAATTGAAGATCCCGACGCAAATATTGTACACTTAAATAAATGTATTTAACATTAGAAAGTCAGACCAATAACTCAATAAGCAGAGAAGGTGACGTTTATATGAGCTGAATCCCTCATTCATCAGCAGTGTTTAATGACCGCTGACTCCTGAAACCTGTTCTGTGAGCTTCTTCATTTGCATGAAGCTCATTTGATATGTCAGATATAAACACAATCTGTGCAGGTCAGGCCTTCAGTCCTCTAGCTCAATGGTTCCCCCTTTTTCCCAGAAAAATATTGTGAGGCCCCCCCACATTTAATGATATTATCGCTCATATAATTTTGCATTAATTATGACAAAAAATGTTGTCAAACAAACGGTATGTAAAGGGACTAAGCCGAAAAGAAAATGAATGAATGAATAATAGCCTGATGTAAAATATAAAAGCAAACCATCAGGCCATTTGTAACGTAAAAATGTAATCCTTTGGCCTTTAAATTGACCCTATTTGAAATTCAGTAACATAAATATCAGTGTTCACACTGGTGTATAAGGGACAACATAATATAGGCTGTTACAATTTACTACTGGCATGTTATTTGTTCTGCTCTATCAATTAGTGTGAGGATTGCTGCGAGGCGAATCAGTAAGACTCCGTCTTTTTTGTGGAGGACGGATTACAAATGAGTTTATTTTTGGTCAGCTAGGGCAGTGCTCCTCAACCTGTTCATCACCATGCGCCGGTCAACGCTTGACTATTTTACTGCGGGGGGTTTGGGGGTGTTTCGTAGGTTGCTAGGCGACTATCAATCTTTTTCTCAGAGGATGACAAGCTGACAAAACATTGCTGTCACTCTCTGATACAAGTCTTATTCACGGAGAAAAGTACAAAGCGCTGCAGTGTTTGTGTGTTTGTCTTAGAAAATTAGTCTTACCGAAATGTGAATATTCCATACAAGCTGAAGCTGATCGGTCAATTCTTGTCACGTGACTCGCGGTGCACAAGATGCACACCTTAATTGGAGACAACAAACTTGTGCAAACTCTAGAAATTCGTAATATGCGAACGCTTTCATTTGCAATCCCCATCAGTTGTTGATCTGATTCACCTGATTTGCTGACCCATTCCTTGGCAGTTCGCAGGTCGTTCACTGGGCCTTTTTCCCGTAGCAAAGAAACTTTCCAAAGACGTCTGTTACATACTCAATTTTAATGCTTGTGGGTAAAATTTTGGTGCTCAAGTGACAGATATAACCGGGAGAATATGGTCATTTTTCAAAATAAAAGACTTTTTAAAATAATAGATCGTTCAGACTCAGACAATAAATAAAATGGAAACAATTATTGATTTCCTGTGCGGCCCGGTACCAATTGATCCACGGACCGGTGGTTGACGACCACTGAGGTAGGGGAAAAAATGAACTAAGCCAACATGATCCTTCTCCTAATTGTCCACTGCTAAGAATTTTCTTTAAATATGACACAACCCCCCCCACAAAGATCACTGAGGCCCCCTTGTGGGCCGCGACCTCGCTGATCTAATCTCAGCACCTAAACACACACATATTAGCAGCAGGAGCTCCTCAACACTTCATGTAGAGCTTCATTCAGGATTATTGATCTTAAATTCCCAGTGACGCAGCAGAGCTGTACATGCACATCAGCACTCGTCCATCAAGCTGCTTTCTGCGTCACACAGAGATTCTGACATTTTATTAGCAGCAAACTGTAGTGTTCAGCCTTTAAACTGTATCAAAAATAGTCTTATAGTATAATTATAACATGTAATATATATATATATATATATATATATATATATATAAATATATATATATATATATATATATATATATATATATATATATATATATATATATATATATATATATATATATATATATAAAAGATAAATGTATACATTAATGTATGAAAAAAGCTTATTTGAAAATATATTATTTAAGCCATGAGTAATGTATAATGGGGAATGAATTAAACATGTATTTTCATTTTCAATCTAAACCAGTGTTTCTCAACCACATTCCTGGAGGATCACCAGCTCCACATGTTTTGGATGTCTCCTTTGTCTGTCACACCCATTACAGGTCTTTCAGTCTCTGCTAATGAGCCGATGATCTGAATCAGGTGTGTTTGGTTAAGGAGACATGGAAAATGTGCAGAGCTGGTGGTCCTCCAGGAACATGGTTGAGAAACACTGATCTACACAGCTGGTAACCATTGACTTTCATTATACGATCACCTAGAACCACAGATTCAGCTACAATCTTTGTTAATGCTCGACTGGAATTTAACAATTCGTTTGCGATTGATTGTGCTGTGGTTATGGCTTCATGAAGCTGCTCTGTGTTTCTGTCATCTACATGTGTGTTTGCTGGTCTTCAGGATCCCGGGTGTGTTTCCAGAATCGCCGCGATGGCTTCTGCTTACAGAGAGAACTGGAGACGCAAACTCCTTCTGTGAGCGCAGCGACCGCCAGAGAGACGACGACAGCTTCACCGGTCAGTGCTCTAACACTTCAGGAGGATGTTTCATTTTAGGAGGATGGCTCTTTTGGACGTTCACTCAAAAGTGAAAATTCTGCCATCCTTTGCTCATCTTTCACTTCTGATGAACACGAGGGAAAATATCCTCAGGAATTATGGAAAAAAAAAAAAAACAGCCATTGACCTTCCATAATAGTTTTTGCTCCTGCTATGGATGTCAGTGGCTGCTTCCATCATTTGGTTTTCATGTCTATTCTCATTTCATTCATTCATTTTCCTTCAGCTTAGTCTCTTTATTTATCAGGGATCGCCACAGCAGAATGAACCACCAACTTGTCCAGCATATGTTTTACATAGCGGATGCCCTTTCGGCTGCAACCAAACACTGAGCTAATGTATACATTGCAATGGCATCTGCTTTTCTGTTGAGCCTGGAGTGTGATGGGACGCATTAATAGACAAAGCAGCGACGGTTTTATTTAAAGAGAAATGTTTTATTTCATAAATGATTTAAGCCATAGTAGGGTTGGGTTGATAGACAGTGCCATCGTCCATCGCTGATAGCCATCACGATGCTGAGCCGGCATCACGATCCTCTGCTCTGTCCCTGTCGCAGCAGCAACCCGCTCGGGAAAAACCCACACACTCAGACCCCGTTTACACTGATACATCTTAGCTTTAAAAATTCACGTGATGTCTGAGCTCCAGCAGTCAGCCCACAGAGCAGTGCACGTCAGACAGTTCGTCAAGGGTGTCCCGCTGGATGGCGTCTCACTATAGTTGTTAAAGGTGATATTTAATTAATCTCGTCTCGAACGACTCTTCTGTTGTTTGAATCTATCAGGTAGCATGTCCCAGCGTCAAAACACTGCTTCGGTCTTTCGCTTCACGCTTGTACTTAGTCATTTTAGTGAAAATCTCAGACGCTGTCGGTTGGTTTCTGTTGCACCTTTTTACCAACCAAGTTTGTTGACGTCATTATAACAACACAGATCACTCTGCCTATAGGGTATATGCAGAAGCATGCTAACAGGACGTTCCATTTGCCAGTAAACCTGGGTTAAACGCGTCCGATGAACTTTTGTCAATGCAAAACTGGCACGTTTAAGGTCTGTTTTCTTTACAAATCAGCGATCTCCACTGGCTGAGTGATATCTGATATAAAGTGGGTCTCAGATTGTACAAGAAGCACTGCATTACATTACATTTCCCCCGCCATGTCTTTATAATATGAGCATTTACTTTACCCCAGTATATTCAATGGAGCTTCTGCGCTAGCCTGCTGATTCTGATGGGCGCGTGCGAGTACATGGCTTTGTCTCGTTTTGCGCTTGAGCAACTAAATGAATGGCAAAGTCTGTTTAACTGATTGTATTTTAACTACATTCCCACATCAATGCTGTAAAAGGAACCATAGACAAAAACTGACAATAAAAAGTCACCGGAAGTTTATCAGCCTGGGAAGAACACTAGCTCAGCATATAACCTATTCATGCCAGAGTCCTGAGGAAAAAGTGATTGACAGGTGGTCATCTGTGTGTAACTTATCTTTATTTATTTATGATTTGGTCATGGGTAAAACAAAGAGCATGCAGGTCAGCTAGTTAAAACAGTAGGCTACAAATAATTCATTCATTATTAATTAATTAATTAATAAGTTGGCGATTCATTCCGCTGTGGCGACCCCGGATGTTTCACATTAGACATCATATGATGCTAAATTGGTCGACATCGCCCAACTCTAAGCCATATTCCATTTATGCACATTAATTTAATTTTCAATTGCAATTTGCATCTTTTTCCCCCAACATGTTTCAGAATAGCTTGTTTTGTGTTCAACAAAAAAATAAATAAAATCAGAGCAATTTAATGCAATGCAAATGTCAACCTGGTCATGAAAAAAAGTCAAGTTTTCACCAAAATAGTGAAAGAAAAGTTGTTTGTGTAAGCCTGTGCTTGACAGTACTGTAAAAATATGCAAAAATGTCTCTGGTAAATCAAATATAATAGTTTGAAAACATTAACAAAGTCACACAAGTGGCAGTTTTACATCTATCACATCCATAACGAAGCATTTGCCCTCATAAATGCAGGAAATGTCAATTAAAATCAGTCATTTTGTTCTATACAGTCACTCTTATCCTGTTGATTAGCATCATTTTTTTTGAGGCTGTGCAGTTTAATTCAGAGGATTTCTACAAAGTATGTTATGTTCTGTAAACTTGCAGATTTTTTTGGTCACATCCATAACGCATGTTTATTTCCTTCATTTACAATATAAAACATGTTTACAGATTGATTTTTCTTGATCCCATTGAGTTGTTTTGTAAAATATAAACAGATGATTTAATCTAATGTGAACATGCTGTCTCTGTGAAGGTATGTTTTGAGTTTTTACTAAATTGTCACATTCATAACGCTGGTGTTGCTCATATGTTTAGAGTAAGTGGTGAGTGAATGTTGTTTTTGGGTGAGCTGTCCCTTTAATCAGTGTGTTCCTGTATGTGCCGCAGAGCTGGACAGTGAATCGTCCTCGTCTCCTACACGTCCTCATCTGTCCTTCCCGGAGCTGCTGCACAGCAGAAACATCTGGAAGAACCTCTGCGTGCTGGGATTTACATCGTGAGTGATTCACTTGACTCAGCAAATGCTCTAAAGCCATCATCAATCATGTCACTGAGTAAAAAGAAGTTGAACTGGGTCATATTTAAAAATATTTTTGACAAGTAGTTAAGAGAGTTTTGTGCTGATCTCGGCCTGACATTGATAATTCAATATGACACGAAAACCATCGTATGATCCTAGATTCCCAGGTCAGAGCACATCAACACTTGTTCGTCAAGCTGCTTTCTGTGTCTTTAAGACTGTCGCACAAAGATTCTGACAGCATTTTATTAGCAGCAAACTATCCAACAGCATTTGAGCTGTATCAAAAATAGTTTAACTGTTTAATTATAACAATAAGGAAGCAAATATAATGAATATATTAATAACTATTTTCATACATACTGACTTTTGGACTACTATATTAAAAGAATGTTTAATGCTTATTTAAAACTGCATAATAAAACCAAACGTTTATATAAAAGCATAATGTATAGTAGAAAGCATTTTATAAATATAATATTCATGATCTAAATATGACACTAAAATCATCAGTAGGTACACAAGTCACTGTCCTAAGGAGTGATTCACTGAATCATGCAACACAGGCTCATTCTGGAAACGTAGTCCCATGGACATTTCTGGATACCGTGAATTATGTAGCCAGAGGTACGTATGGCTGCATTTCATTTTTTAGGTGAACGCTACAGGGTGGTATGACACCGTTCCTTTTCTCGCTTACCGGCTGACCGTCTACCTCCGTGTGGAGGGGTTTCCCACTGCAACCAGTTTGTCCAGTTAGCTCTTCACATACCTTGGTGGACTTGAGACGCAGAGAGGAGTTGACCACCACGACAACCGGGTTCGAGTCCAGGGAAGAGCAATTCCAGAAATCAGGTTAAGACAAAAACAGAATCCAAAAAATAAGTGAATAACAGGGTGAGAACGTGGTAAAATCCGAAAACTTGGTAAAAAATCAGACGAGGGCTTTTCTTTTTCTGGATGGCTCTTATAAATTGTTGGTTGGGAATAGGGGAGTAAGTGGGTGGGCAGGTCAATCGATAAAATTGGTTGGGTTTAGGGAAGGAGGAGAGTGGGTTAGTCGATGGGACTATGTTTTCAGAATGAGCCTGGGTTGTAATCATTTATTCAAAATGGCAGATTCACATAGAAACTAAGCAAGGTCGTTTTTATGAATGGATCACTGAATCAAACAACCTGGGCTCATTGTGAAAGGTATGTATTCATACGTATTCACGTATCCCGTGAGGTACGTATTCAAACGGTTTTTGTTTTTGCGGATCTGCGAGAGGCTGCTGTGCGCGCTTTTTCGCGTCTCGAGTGCCTCTCGGGAGCGTGCGCCATTTGCGCCTGTTCTGTTCTCACGCGAAAACCATCGGAGGCCACTGTGGAGCGACCGTCCATCCGACTGGCTGGCTGAACGATCTGCCGACCCAGCCGCCCTCCTCTTCCTCCTTCCCTAAACCCAAGCGACGTTTTGCAAAAACGTCTGCCGTCCAGAAAAAAAAAGCAGAAGCCCGCATCTTTGATTTCGACCAAGTTTTCGGATCCCGCCGCGTTCTCGCCCTTATTTTTCGGATTTTGTTTTTCATCTTATCTGATTTCTGGAACCGCTGTTCCCCGGACCCGATCCCAGTCGTCCCCGCGGCCGGCTCCTCCTCCTCTGGGCCTCTGCTCTGCCGACGTAACGCTGCGAGCTAAGCTGACAAACTGGTAGCAGCGGGAAAGCCCTCTACTCGGAGATGAGCCGTCGGCCGGTGAGCGCGAAGAGGTTTTTCTCGTTCGCTCGAGAAAAACTAAACGCGGCCGTACGTACCTCCGGCCACGTAAATCGCGGTCTCCAGAAACGTCCGCGGGGCTACGTTTCCAGAATGAGCTTGGGTTGGAATCAAATGATTCATTTAGAAACAGATTAAGGCCCTGTTTACACTAACACATCTTAGTTTTAAAGCGCACACGTTTTGAGCGTTTTCAGAGTTTTTTGAGCCCTAAAAAAACAGATTTTTGGAAATGCTGAAGAGGCCGTTTTCATTTTAAAACGCTGCAGCCCTGTGTCAGTGTGGATGGGCGTAAACGGAGACATCTGAAAACGGAGGTGTGGCCGCAGACGTTCACCTCTCTGATTGGGCCTGTTCTCAATGTTAAGTGCACACAGTTCAGTCTTGCACCCTTTGCTGAAGTTCAGACTTTGCAAGTTTGATATGGAAAAGGACACATCGGGTAAAAACAGTGTACTGTATAACCTCATTCACATCACTTCGTCTTAACAATAAAATGAAAATATGATATAAAGAACTGCCTAATTACATTTTGAAATTAACTTAACACAAACTAAAACTGTTGTGGCATACATATTCATATGAGCGCCGTCTTCACTGTATGCATATTTATAAGAAACGGAAAAGAAAATGAATGAATGATCAATTATAACCCACATTCAACACTGCACGTGCTGTGATGTGCCTATTGCGCATGATTACACTATAGGATATCAATGCTGAAACCATCTATTGTCCAGCCCTACTCTATACATGTGAAAACAGAAGAGTGCATTTTGATTTGAAGCCAACTTGAAAAGGCAAAAGCATGCGTAAGTGTGTGTGTGTTGTGCTCAGGTTCATCTCTCATGGCATCAGTCACTGCTACAGCTCCTTCAGTGATGATGTTCGGGGAACTCCTCCGACCTTCTACTGGACGTACCTGCTGTCGGTGTGTGCTGGCGGCGGAGCCTGGCTGCTGCTGTGGGCGACAGTGGACCGCTGCGGCCGGAGGGGGATCCTGCTGCTGGCCATGACCCTCACAGGACTGGCCTCGCTCATCCTGCTCGGACTCATGGACTGTAAGTGTGTATGTGTAAATTACTTCCCTCGTGAGACAAATTTAGACGCCCTCCTTTCAAGATTGTATTCATCTTCAAACATTTGAGAAGTGTTGTTTAACAGAGCAAGGCCATTTTCACAGTGTTTCCTTTTAGATTTTTCTTCTGGAGAAAGTCTATTACTAGTAGCATCTAGTCAAATATTATGTAGTCATCATGGCGACTATCAAAGAAATGAGAAAGTTATTAGAAATTGGTTACATCTAGGCCCATCACAGTAATCAACATATGGACTTATTGCATAACACATGAACATGGCTCAATCAAATTAAAATGAAAAGCAGATTAACAAGTTTATAAAACACGGTTCGCAGAATATCTGCCAAAATTGAAAATAAAATTTAATTATTTAATGTTTATTTCCACTGCGACAACACATCGTCACGTTGATTTTCACAGCATTTCTGCATCAAGACTGCCAATATTAAAACGAAAAGCCAAACTGAAAAATAAAATGCAAACAAAAACTGCTAACTTTTTACGAGTCTTTTCATTACTTTTGTTTTTCCTGTAAATGATTCAATAAATACTGTACCGTGCCATTCATACCGAGGTATTACCGTACTGTGAAATTCTGATTACCGTTACATCCCTACTGTATAGGTCTGGTTTTCTAAACCAGTGGTTTCCAACCTTTTTCTTAGAGGCCCCCCCCATGAACATATACAAACATTGGAGCCCCCCCACCATTTAAATACACACGCACACACACCCATGTACTAAATATATATATATATATATATATATATATATATATATATATATATATATATATATATATATATATATATATATATATATACTGTATGTGTGTGTTTGTGTAATATTAATATATAATATGTATAGAAAATATAAATTAATCAGTTTTAACTTGTCTTGGCCATCAATAAAACCAAAATTTAGGTAGGCTTTGTCATACTGTCTAATCTTTTTCTTCGCCTCTAAAGAATCACTGCATTTACGATTTCTCTGCCGATTTTGTTTTGATTTTGCCTTTACACGTTGACAAGCACATTGCGTGAGTGAGCTAAATTTAAATAATTATTTAAAGTTATTCATTTTAATTATTTTTACCATTATGTTGTAATTTTAACCATGTGTTTTGATATATATATATATATATATATATATATATATATATATATATATATTTTTTTTTTTTTTTTGTACTTAAAAATACATATATAATAGTAGGGCTGCTCGATTTTGTGAAAAATCATAATCACGATTATTTTGGTCATAATTGTAATCACGATTATTCAAAACGATTATCAGTTAAAGTCAATATTATTAGCGCTCCTGAGAATTTTTTTATTTTTATTTTTTATAAATATTTTCCAAATTATGTTTAACAGAACAAGGAATTTTAACAGTATTTCTTAATAATATTTTTTCTTCTAGGCTTATTTATTTTATTTTAGCTAGAATAAAAGCAGGTTTAAATATTTTGAAACCAATTTAAGGTCAATATTATTAGCCCCCTTAAGCAATAAATATTTTTGATTGTCTGCAGAAGAAACTACTGTTATACAATGACTTGCCTAATTACCCTAATTAAGCCTTTGAATTGCACTTTAATCTGAATGCTTGTATTTTGACCTGTCATCATAGCAAAGATAAAAGAAATCAGTAATTAGAAATGAGATATTAAAACTATTATGTTCAGAAATAAGTTTAAAAAAAAACTTCTTTCCATGAAACAGAAATTGGGAGGAAAAGGGTTGCTAATATTCAGGAGGGCTAATAATTCTGACTTCAAGTGTTTACATACAGTTATTTTCCACCCTGCAAATGAAAGAGAAATAAATACAATAGAACAAAAATATTAAACAAACTGTGCTTTAAGCATCTTCACTGTAAGAAAAACACAGCAGTCCTTCAGTCAAGACTAGTGAGGGATTTTCTCGTTGTTTGATTAAAAATGATAAAAACAGGAGGCAGTAGGAATATTTCTCACTAGCCCCTTTCACACAGTGATACCGGTAAATATCCGGAAAATTTCCGGAACGACTTTACCGGTATATTGAAAAAAGCGCTGTTCACACAGGCGAGGACGTTACGGAAATTTTCCGGAAAAGAGCATTCACACATCCATTCCAAAATGCCGGTAAATTCTGACATCATTCACCACAAATGAGCTTTAAACGGCTGCGCTTGTATTTGTAAACATTTGACTAAATTACAAACTCTGTGGATGATCAATATTGTAAACAACTTTCACTGGATCATATTCGCATGTCGAGATGTTCATAATTTGTGCGTGTGCTGACGCTCACAGGCTGTTTCATGGGCACACGCAAAGCTTGAAGGTAAACAAACAACGGCTTATCATAAGCATCTTATCGATGATTATTTGCACAGTTGGCATTAAGAAGAACATATAAACGTGATCTGACTAACTTCTTGCAGCTAAATGTGTCTGGAAAAATATTCAAAGGCTTTTATTCTCACAAACCGCGCGGACGTAAATGCGTCTGACTGTTGTGATTGGCTAAAGCAGAAGTCTTACGTCAGCACGTTCTAGACGTGCACGAGCTTATTCCGGAAATCTTCCTTCTGCGTTCACACAGCGCAGCATTCCGGCAAATTGCCGGTAATGTTACAACTTCTCTTTCCGGAAAATAGCCAGAACGAATTTACCGGTATTTTCAAAAAGGACCTGTTCACACATACAACCTTTCCGGAAAATTGCCGGTAATTTTCCGGAAAGGTCTGTATGTGTGAAAGGGGCTACTGTCTCTTTAGTTTCTCTTTCACATGTCTTTTGATCCTCAACTCATTTGTTTATTACACAAATGATGGTGAATGTAAATAATCACTAAACACCGCGTTTTGACACCTATTTGACCATTAAAGCGCTCACGTTAATGACTTTAGATGTCTGCGCTCCTCTGCTCGTCTCAGTGTGCGAATGGGAGCGAATGCTGACCGGCCGCATGCTTCTGGCTGCGTGTGCGTGCCGCACACACACATAAGCACGCGCTCGTTCGCGCTTTTAAGACCAACAGTGAACAACTGGAAAGGTGGCGGTATATGATGCAATAATCATTTATCTCGATTAATGCTTTTTTTTATAATATTTTGAAATCGGATTTTCGATTAATTGTACAGCCCTATATAATAGTGGAGCATTTTTATGCCTTTTTCTACCTCAACACTTATCCTCTCCCGCGCCCCCCTTGTGAACTCTGCGGACCCCAGGTTGGGAACCACTGCTCTAAACCACCCTAGAGTCTATTGTGGCCCCTTATAAAAATTGGTTGGCCATCCCTGCTTTAGACTCACTCTTTGGCATTTGTACTTTCTACTTTATATCTCACAGTTGTATTCAACTTATTTCTGAATTCTAAAATAACCAACAACATAAATAATAATAACAATAACAATTACTTGTATTCTTTATCCCGGGGCAGAAATGAGCTTCCAAACAAATTTAGCTGTGTGTGTGTGTGTGTGTGTGTGTGTGTGTGTTTGTGCGCAGACCTGAGCGATGGAGCCATGAAGGTGTTCTCCATAATGGGTTTGTTCTCATCTCAAGCGGCTGCTTCTCTCTCCATTCTGTTCACGGCTGAAGTCATGCCCACCGTCATCAGGTACACACACTCTTTCTTAAACCTCTCCTGAAACAGCAGGATGCAGGGCATTAATGGAGAGTGAAATGGTGAAGAAAAACAACACACACACACACCAGAGAGCTGCTTAGGGATGTAATGTACGCATGCCTGCTGTGTCATTCTGGCTGTCCGCCGAGAGCTTTCTCCTGGGAGGACTTTGCAGCAGTCGCTCTTGTTATTGACTTATTAAAAACACAAAGAGTTTTCACAGCCCATCTTGTGGAGCTTAACACAAATACACAAGCAAGAGCATGAGCTTGGGTCCCAGAAAATGTGTGTGCAGGGCTGTCACAGTTACAAAATTTGGCTGAAGAGGAATTGAGTTCCTGCAATTAATTGTAGGTTTTGCTGCCCTTACAGAAATCTGATATAAGATTAAATATGAGCAATTTTAAACATATAAAAATTCAGATGATTAAAACTGAAATTCTTGTTGTGTCCACAGAGGAAGTGGTGTTGGAGCCGTGATGGCGCTGGGTTGCGTGGGTCGCCTCAGCTCTCCTCTTATGGATCTGCGTAACCACTATGGCTACTTTCTGCACCATGTGGTTTACTCGTCTCTCGCCCTGCTGGCCGTCCTCTCCATCCTGCTCCTCCCAGAAAGCAAACGCAAACCCCTTCCACAGACTCTGGCGGATGGAGAACAGTACCGGCGGCCACCACTAGTCCGACACCGGAGAGATAACGTTCCTCTTCTGGCCACACCAAACCCAGAGACCTAGCCTTCGCACTTCACCTACTGGGGATCCGCAGCCTCTTAGCCTTGTATTAGTAGTCATTCCTAACACGTGTCGGTGGAGTTGTCGCACATGGACTCTATCCTGAAGTGTGTGAGGAGTGTGAACGGTACAAAAACTGTACCAGAAACCAGCGGAAACGCGTCCAGAGTATGCAGACGCTCCAACATGTCAGCGTGCAGTGCTGCGAGTCAAGGGCAAACGCTCCAATTCAACACTGAAGCCTGACCCGTGTAGCATCCACTGACTGACAGTCCTATTAAAGGGTTAGTTCACGCAAACATGAAAATTAGAAATTAATTCTCAACATCACGGCATCCCAGGTGTACATTACATTCTGCTTTCAGTCAAATCTAATTGAAGCTATTTTAAAAATCATATTTGGATTATAATTTTTATATTAAAGTCTAATAACACACATCCATCTATATTAATAAATGCCTCACGTGGCTCGGGTGTGTGAAATAAGATTTCCTTTAGTGAAACTAGGGCTGGGTGATATAGCCCGTTAAAAAGAAAATAAATCCCTAATTTTTTTATTTAAATCCATTTTCATTCATTCATTTTCTTGTCGGCTTAGTCCCTTTATTAATCTGGGGGCGCCACAGCGGAATGAACCGCCAACTTATCCAGCAAGTTTTTACGCAACGGATGCCCTTCCAGCCGCAACCCATCTCTGCGAAAAATAAATCCCTAATTTTTCGATTTAAATCCATTTTCATTCATTCATTTTCTTTTCGGCTTATTACCTTTATTTATATTGGGTGGCCACAGTGGAATGACCCACCAACTTTTCCATCATATGTTTCACACAGCAGATGCCCTTCCAGACAGAAACACCCATACACCCTCATTCACACACATATGGACAGTTTAGGCCGCGTTTACACTAATGCGTTTTCGTTTCAAAATGGCGTTTTAGATCAAAAACCATCCGCGTTTCACCTAGCGTTTCTGAACATATCTCCGTCCACACTACGCCACCAAAACCGTATATCACGTGACCATTAGCGCACTCTGTGCATGCGCATTCTAGTATAAACAGGAAGCATGCGTCTCGCTCGACATTTGGTTATTGTTAGTCAACAAACACCAGTTGAATAATGACATAACACGTGTTAGAGTAATAGCGAGTTTCATTCAAACAAATTGATGTGAACTTCACACTCGAATTAATCGATAAAACTGATTTATCGTTTTGAAACCATGTTTTTTTTGTAAGAAACCTCCAAATTATTTTATGTAACTTCCGGCAAGCGCTGTCTGTCATCGTCTTTCTTTTGAGGTGATTTTTATTGGTGCATTAGTGCAATCAGCTAAACAGTTGCCTCAATGCAAATAAATACAGCAAACTTTGCAATATACACGGTAAACTAACAAAACATACTGTAAACACACCTTATGCCTTTTCGGAAGGTGCTGAAAAAAATGTATAGTCCATCAGATTAAACAAACAGATGAGATGCATGGCTGCTTGCGTCACAAAACGGCTGCTTTTTTGTGACCCTGCCTTTCCTGTTTTCAAAATAAGAGTCCCCTCATATTTATAACTGTTGTAATCTCACTAGGAAAGTTTGTGGTTAATTAAACGCTGCCTGGGGGTTGCATATTAATGATCCCAGTGGATCGTCAGAGTTAATGATTTGTTCCAATTGGCCTGATGTTCCTGGTGAAGGAGGAAGCAGTGTTCGAGTCTCACTGTATGTCATTTCCATGTACTGAATGCTTATAGTCCAACTATGTCTAAGTATATGCTGATTTTCATTATTTGTAACATTTAAAATAACTCAGATTGGAGTCGTACACCTAGGATGCCATAGGGGTAAATAATGAGCTCATTTTCATTTTTGTGTGAACTAACCCTTCAAACCATCCGCAGAGACAAGGGCTGATTGTTTTTGAAGTAGTTGATCTTTTTGAAAGCGGGTTTATGTTCTCACTCCAGATTTAAGAATGATGGAATCGGTTCTCTTAGTTCAGGGGTGTCCAAACTCAGTCCTGGAGGTCCGGTGTCCTGCATAGTTTAGCTCCAACTTCCTCCAACACCCCTGCCTGGAAGTCTAGTATACCTAGAAAGAGCTTGATTAGGTGGTTCAGGTGTGTTTAATTGGGGATGGAACTAAAATATGCAGGACACCGGACCTCCAGGGCTGAGTTTGGACATCACTGTGTTAGCTCTTTAACACGTTGCTGCTAGAAATGATGCACCATCCTGAGGATATTTGAAGGAATGATTATCACACTGAGGATCACTTATATGCACTTTGAGTGGACTGAGTCATGGTTATTATTATTGTATGTTACATGTCACTCGGGATTGAAGGAATATTAAAGGAATATAACTTGAGATGTACACTTGAAGAAAACATTTCATCCTGCTGGATTCAATTCTCTTTAAATTATTTCCCAAGTGCTGTTTAACAGATCGTATTCAACACATTTTAAACGGTAGCTTTAATAACTCTTTTATCTTTGCCATGGTGACAACACACATAATATTTTACAAGATCTTAGTATTCAGCTTAAAGTGACATTTAAAGGCATAACTAGGCCAGTTAGGTTTATTAGCGAAGTTATTGAACAACTGTGCTTTGTTCTGTAGACCAGTGGTCCTCAGCCTTTTATCACCGCGGACCGGTCAACGCGTGAAAATTTTACAGCTGACCGGGGGTGGTCGATGGTTCGTAGGTTGCTAGACGACCATAAACCATTTTCTCAGAGGATGACAAGCTGACAAAACATTGCTGCAGCTCCGATACAAGATTTATTTATGGAGAAAATTACAAAGAACTGCAGTGTTTGTGTGTTCTGTGTTTGTCTGAGATAATTAGTCTTCCGAAATGTGTATATTCAATAAGCTGAAGCTGATCAGTCAGTTTTTGTTAGTGATTTGCAGTGCGCTTGCAGGATTCATTTAGCTGGGTGCATCTGGAAGAGCATGTCATGCCGCTCACATGACCTCCATTGGAAATAACGAATATCACTGTCTCTCCACTTCACCTATAGCTGGTGTGTGGTGAGCGCACTGGCGCTGTTGTCCTGTGGCTGCCGTCGCATCATCTAAGTGGAGCTGCACACTAGTGGTGGTGTGGAGAGACACCCCCCCCCCCCCCCTCATGATTGTGAAGTGCTTTGGGTGTATGGCCATACACAGTAAATTTGCTATATAAACACATATTACAGTACATTACAAGACTTAATCCAGAAAAAAAGACACACTGTGGAAAAAAGCAGACCTTACTCTGTTAAACATCACTTGGGGAATATTTGAAACAACATTAAAATTTTTAATAATTGATCTGTAAGTGCAGCACCTGTTGTTGATTATCACAGACTGATTTATATTGACCGGAGATCATAATGTGCTGTAATAATCTGCTTTTAAAGCCTTGGTTGAACTGCTCCACAGACTTCCGTTGTTTCTCATTCTGTGCAAGCTGAAGGACGAGGCGTAACAGATCTGCAGTCTTTTATAACTCGAGCTGTATTTACCCTGAAATATTCCTTTAATGACTTTACTTCTGTTCCTTAGCTTAAAGGTCGAAGCTGTGGGTAGGTCATCTGAATGTTGTCACTAGGGCTGGGTATTACGTTTAATTTATTATTTATATGGGTTTGATTTGATCCAATATTGATTAGTATTTAATATTTAATTAAAAAAAGTTAGTTTTCCGGACAAATATTCCACAATTGAATATAATTGTTAGTAATTAAATCCCTCCTATTCATCTATATTAGTGAAGAGCACATTTACGGTACATTAACAATAGCCACGCAATTATTTACTTTAGATAAAAACAAATACGTGTGGATACATGGTATTAGCACTTGGAGACATTATTTGCAAACGTTGTTTAAGAAGATTTATCTTTACCCCCATTGCTTACTTCTACACACCAGACTTTAATCTTGCTGACTTCAATTGGCTACCGAGATGTTTTTGTTTGTTTAATCATCAGGAAGGCGACTGATAAATGGCGACATCTTCAGGATGATTGGTGAAGTGCAGATATTCACTCTCTAAACTCGTTCATTCATTTTCTTTTCGGCTTGGTCCCTTTATTAATCTGGGGTCGCCACAGCGGAATGAACCGCCAACTTATTCAACACATGTTTTACGCAGCGAATGCCCTTCCAGCTGCAACCCATTGCCAGTAAAAATCCATTCACACACATACACAGACATCCCAACTTGGGAAAAGTCATTACCGGGGGGAGACAGAGATGATTTCTGCAGGAGACTCCCGGTACTTCCGGGACACTTGGGATGTCTGCATACACTACAGACAATTTAGCTTACCCAATTCCCCTATAGCGCATGTGTTTGGACTTGTGGGGGGAAACTGGAGCACCCGGAGGAAACCTACGCCAACACAGGGAGAACATGCAAACTCCACACAGAAATGCCAACTGACGCAGCCGGGGCTCGAACCAGTGACCTTTTTGCTGTGAGGCGACAGTGCTACCCACTGCGCCACCGTGCTGCCCCCACCCTCTAAATTACAAACATTAAAGTCTGGATATAGTCTAAATTTTGTTTATTTTAATAATTTAATTTAGTTAAATTTGAGTTTATTTTGCGAGTGCAAAACGTCGTTATTCTTAAAGTGAACAATTAATCTATGCAAGTTAACACACTGAAAATAAAAAGTTTGTTTTGTTAATCCTTAATCTAAATCTGCCATCTGATTGGACTAAATATGCTTAAGACATGCTTAGCCACACCCCTCCAAACAATAGTTTGCTGTGATTGAAAGACGAGAGGTGGAGCACAAAAATAAAGCTCCGCCCCCTACTCAATATTCCATTTGAGTTGGAAATACATCGTAATACTGAAAAGTCTCAAGTTTTCAAGTGGATTAAGGGATTTGCAGCATCAGTATTATTTCTTTAAATTGAATTTCGATAAAAATCAATGTTATTTGTTGTTGTTTTTTTCACCCAGCTCTAGTTAACATGTTTTGAATTGATTTGGATCTCATGTCTGGCTCTATGCTTTCCCTTTTGTATTTGCACATTGCATTTTTAGTCAGATTATGAAATGCCGAACAGTGGAAATGCGAGTGATCTAGCTTTCTCCTTTCTTTGTGTTAGATTGTTTAAAATGCACTTAATAACTCTGAACCGATAGTAATTTGAATTATTATTTTTACTACTTGAATAATAACAGATAATAGTAGTAAGTCTGGTGATTGTGCAACAGTTACTAAACAATGCTGTAATTATGAATAAATCCTTAACCAAGTCTAATCACAAATAAACTCTTTGAAACCCTGGGAAGTGAATGTGCTTTGTGGAATACTCACGCAGTGCTGTTGTTGAATGGTCTGTTGTACTTTTGGTTCATTGTTGTTTTGGATGTAGGTTGCGGGTTGTTGAGTTCGGTTCAGATGAGGCCGTGATCCGCCACAAAAACACTCCACACTGCAGCTCCCCATTCTGCAAAGATCACAACAAGGTCAGTCTGTGTTTGAGATTCACTTATGCCGAGTTCAGACTGGAGGAATTTCGCCCTGACAGGTTTTGA